CTGCAAGCTACCAAAACTGACTTTGGGTAACTTAAGTTATGAAAGACAGGAATGTACTGGAAGGATATGTAGTAGGACACAGAACTAAGGAAAAGCTGAAGACTCAGGTGGTTGAAAACAACAGCAGCTCTAGCGCCCAGATATTAGGAATTAGCCTGTGGTTGTCATGTCACTGTTTACTGAACTTTTGTTACTGTGTCATTCAACCTAAGATTCAAATTAAAGGAGGAAAGCATCTACTTGCCTAACATCTGTTGGCCTGACCTGGGCCATGTGCCTACCACCTAGTTGGTCAGGGATGAACTGTTCTCCAAAGCAAAATTGAGCTGTTATCCCCAGAAGAACCTGGATTGGATGCTGGACCGGCCAAAACAACTTATGTCTACTAAATTCTCTCAAAATGTGATGCTTCAAATTCCACGTGATCTAGATACGGAGGAGCAACACTAGGGTACTGTCTCCACACATGCTGCATGACTGGGAAAGTGACCAAATGCGTGCCTGCTTCCTGCCAGACAGTGATGCTCACAAACATATTTGGTTGTTCCTATGACAATCAAAGAAAATGAGTGCAAAATGCTTTATAAACTTGAAGCTAACTGTAGTACTTAATACAGTAAATGCTTGTCACAGCCATTTTATATAGATTTTATTTAATCTTCAAAACTACTCTATTTCTTGATTACATGCTAAATTAAAAAAACCAAAAAACTATGAAGGTGGAGATTATGAGCGTAAACTCTAGAGTCAGACTAAGTTCAAATCCTGACTCCACTCCTCCAATCTTCAGCAAGTTACTGTTTCTGTGACTGTTGCCTCACCTGTAAATGGGCATAATACTAACAATACACAGGGCTGATGTGAGGATTGTGAGTTAATACAAGTAAAATTCTTAGAACTGTGACTGGTATATATAGCAAACACCTAATACGTATTAGCTATCATTATGAGTAGCACTAATTATTCCATTTTTGCAGGTGACAGAAATGAGGCATCAGAGAGATAACTAGTAAGTTCTCAAAGTTTATAATGGTAAAGCTAGGCCGGGTGCAGTGGCATGCACCTGTAATCACAACAACTCATGAGACTAAGGTAGGAGGATCTCTTGAGCCCAGGAGTTTGAGGTTTCAGTGAGCTATGATCATGCCACTGCACTCCAATCTGGGCAACAGAGCAAGACGCTGTCAATCAAGCAGGCAAGCAAGGAAGCAAGCAGTAGTGCCAGAAGTTGAACTTCATTGTTGGTGCTCCTGACTACCATACTGTTTTCAAAAGACAAAAAAAAAAAAAAAAAAAGTGGTAATTGGACTTTAACCCTATACTCAAGTCACGTAATTAAGGATATTTACAAATGAAATTCAAACACAAGAGAGGGAAAAGGGAAATGATCTGTTATCTTTTCTTTTTTTTCCCTAGTTTTTTGAGACAGGGTCTCCCTTTCGGCCCCTTTCCACAGATATTTATTGCTCACCTACCACTGTTCTAGGAGACGGGGTGAGGTGGTGAACAACACAAAGCCCCTACTTTCATAGAGCTTACAATGCAGGCAAATATTACAAAGAAGAAACTGTGGTTCAGTTACCAGGTCTGTCAGACTCTAAAGCCTATACTGTATCTTTCAACCATGTCATCTCTCAGTGGATACAGCTTTTCCCTAAAAGTATATGCCTAAGCATGCAGTCTTGACACTATACTCTAGACCAATTTAAGCTTTCTCTCTCTGTTGGCAGTCCAGTGACATCTTCGCAATAAAGTGTTCCTTCCCCAACTCTCAAACTATACCCTATTGGCCGGGTGCGGTGGCTCACGCCTGTAATCCCAGCACTTTGGGAAGCCGAGTCGAGCAGATCACGAGGTCAGGAGATCGAGACCATCCTGGCTAACATGGTGAAACCCTGTCTCTACTTAAAAAAATACAAAAAATTAGCCGGGCATGGTGGCGGACGCCTATAGTCCCAGCTGCTCCAGAAGCTGAGGCAGGAGAATGGAGTAAGTAAACCCAGGAGGCAGAGCTTGCAGTGAGCCGAGATCACGCCACTGCACTCCAGCCTGGGTGACATAGGGAGACTCCATCTCAGAAAAAAAAACAAAAGAGAAAAGAAAAAAACCCCACCCTATCAGGCCAGGTGTGGTGGCTCACGCCTGTAATCCCAGCACTTTGGAAGGCCAAGGCAGGCGGATCACGAGGTCAAGAGATGGAGACCATCCTGGACAACATGGTGAAACCTCATCTCTACTAAAAATACAAAAATTAGCCGGGTGTGGTGGCACACGCCTGCAGTCCCAGCTACTCAGGAGGCTGAGGCAGGAGAACTGCTTGAACTCGGGAGGTGGAGGCTGCAGTGAGCCGAGATTGCCCCAGTGCATGCTAGCCTGTTGAGAGAGGGAGACTGTCTCAAAAAAAAAAAAAAGAAAAGAAAAGAAAAAAAAACAAAACGAAACACCACAACTGACCTATCAGTAGTAAACATATATTGACATGTATAAACTACCCTCTCTCATTAATCCCTAAACTACCTGAGGGCAAAAACCATGTCTTAGCCGTCTTTATAAGTCTAGAAGATGATATACACAGTAGATACTCAATAAATCATTGAGAGGAATTCATGAGAGTAGTTTCAACAGAGTTGAGGGTAGAAGCCAGACTGCAATGAACAAAGCAGTAAATGTTAGAGAAGAATGTAGAGTCTGCTTCTTAAGGACAAGTCTAGAAAGGAAAAGCAGGAGAAATGGTAGTAATTTGAAGGGAAATATGATCACAGGGAAGTTTCATATAGTTTTAAGAATGAGAAATACTTGAACACAGTTGTTAAGGTAGTACAGCAGTTAAAAGAGAGGAGTTTAGAGTCAGGTAGACTTAAATTCTGTGTTTGGAAAGCAGAAGGCATTCAATAAATGGTTTCAAAGATTATTACTACAGATAGGAGCCTGCACTCTGGTGTTCTAACCCCTCCCACATATCCTGTGCTCCAGTCTAGATTCCCTAAGTCTGTGTATAATATGTGATGGCAAAGAAACAGGATCTTTTTTTCTTCTGTAACACTCATTGTGCTATTCCCATTTCCTTGTGACAGTCTGCATGAGCTCATGAATGGCTGCTGTGGAAAATTACTGACGTCACCAGCTGAATAACAGGCTATCTGGAGAGTAAGCAAGATGAAACTCATGTTAAATTATCAAAGGTACAAGATTTTGGGCTCCTGCCAAAACCTTCATTGAGAACTAAGAGAAAAACTGAAAACACACAGAGCTTTTTTTAAGCTTCTGAGCCAGCAGGATGTTCCTACATCCACTCTAGCGACAGAAAGATGGCTGTAAAATAAAAGAGATGATTATCTCCTCACTTCCCTTCTCAATATTTCACCCTAATGTCAGGTTCATTTCTGTGAGGTTCTACCCCAGTTCACTTTTCTATCAACCTGATATGTTTCCAAATTCACGAGGTATGCGTTTTTACATTGAAGCAATTGTTTGTTTACAGCCTTTTAATGTTCTGGTCATTGGTTATGTTCACCTGTTACCCATAGCTGATCAACAGACACCTCACCCTCTCCCCTCCCTCCCAGACCACAAACCTCCACGCTTAAAAAGGGACACGGAGAAGAACTAAAGCTCAGGCTACTGTGATAATTAGGGATGAAAAAGCTGCATTCACTTAGGACTATCAAAAGCCAGGAAAGATATCTATCTATAGAATTACAAATTAATCCGGCCTGGCGCAGTGGCCCACGCCTGCAATCCCAGCACTTTGGGAGGCCCGAGGCGGGCGGATCACCTGTGGTCAGGAGTTCGAGATCAGCATGGCCAACATAGTGAAACACCCCCTCTTTACTAAAAATACAAAAATTAGCCGGGCGTGGTGGCGGGCGCCTGTAGTCCCAGCTACTCAGGAGGCTGAGACAGAAGAATCCCTTGAACCCGGGAGGCGGAGCTTGCAGTGAGCCGAGGTCGCGCCATTGCACTCCAGCCCAGGCAACAAGAGCGAAACGCAGTCTTAAATTAAAAAAAGAAAAGAAAAGAAAAAAAAGAATTACAAATTAATCACCAAGAAGAGAAATATGTAGAACAAAGATGTAATTCAGTTGTTTAGAGTGCAGAGAGAATTGGAACTAAAAGAGATGAGCAAGAAAAGTGGGAAGTGTATATACTTACAAACCTAATCACAAACCTGTCACGCAAACTACGAGTAAACGAGTCGAAGTTGAAAATGCAGTTTTTGTGAAGCAGAGTCTGATTGGACTTGAATTTACTAAGAAAGAATCAAGAAGGGTGTGGAATATTCCAGGATATCTCTATCCCACCACAAAACAAAAAGCCATCAACCCACCCCAACTCTAGTCACCCAGTCACTGAAAACCTTTGAAACAGCTTCATTTTTCTCTCCAAATAAAAAAGAGCCTAGATCAGTAAACTAAGTATGAGAATAATTTTCAAAATTCCAATCCTAACCACACCGGGTGATTCTGGCTAACGTATGCCTCAGTTTCCCCCGTGCTAAAATGCAAACACACCTGTGTTCCGAGTCTCGGCGTGGATCCGAGCCCGGGTTCTGCACCTGGATCTGACTCTCAAAGGGAAAGGCGCAAGTTAAACCTGAGGAGGAGTCTGCAGCTGTCCCCGTGCCGGAGCCAGCCAGGCTTTTTAAAAAAAGCCCCCCGCATCAGGCGCGGTTTCTGTAAAACCGCTCCCGGCTGCCAGCGCGGTGGATTCCGGTTCCCGCCCCGAACACCTGAGGTGGCCTCGGCCGTCTAGGGTCAGCCGGTCCGGGGTACGCAGCCGACCTCTCCGCCCCGCCGCGTCCCCGGCCCCCATTCCACCCGCGACGCGAGTAAGGTCGGCCCGGCGGCTCTCCGGCCCGAGGCGGTGCTTCTCTCTAGTGGGCGCCTTTGGCCCGTACATCCCTCGGTCAAACAGTCCGACCACAAACGCCCCGCAACCCCAGCCTGAGGGGAACTTGTGGGCGCCGTTCAGTCTCTGCTGACTCCCGTCCCCGCACTCACCTGCCCCACGGGCCACCTCAGCGCCAATCCGGGTCAGGTTAGCGGCTTCCCCGCTCGCACCCAGTCGGCGCTCAGCGGCGCCTAAGCGCACGCGTGGCGGGGCGGAGCATAGGCGGCCGCGGGTCATGCTGGGGGCTGTAGTCGTTCCCGCCCACTTGGCGGGACGCGGCCAGGAGCTTTGCGACCCCGTCCCAAGGCCTGCAGGCACAGCGATGCTTTTGCCGTCTCACCAATCCTCACATCCACCCAGGCTTCATCATACCTTTCTGGGGACTCCTAACCCTTGTGCTTCCACTAAAGCTATGGTTACAAACATTAGAATCTCCTGGTTCTTAAATGAAACTGAGCACCAGCCAGGGAAAGAGGGCATTAAGTGTCCAGGTGTCTGACTTCAGCTGAGCAGACATTTCATCAGTTGTCCCATGTTCTGCCCAGAACCTAACATCTGGGTAGTTTTGATGCTGGAGTCTGCGTGAGTTTAAACCAATCTTAAAGAAAACAGCCTGGGTTAACATAGTGGGACCCTGTCTTTACAAAAAACAACAAAAAATTAGCCAGGTGTGGTTGTGTGTGCCATAGTCCCAGCTACTCAAGAGGCTGAGGTGAGAGGATCGCTTGAGCCAGGAAATCGAGGCTGCAGTGAGCTGTGGTCACACCACTGCACTCCAGCCTGGGCGACAGAGCAAGATCTTGTCATATATATATATATATATTATATATATATAAATGTACATTTAACATGTTTTCCAGTGAACATGCAGACCATCAAATTAAAATGCTACATGGGAAAATCAGATTACAGAGTTGCATACAAGTGTGTAAATACAGAAACAAAGGAGAATGGAAAAGGAAAGAAGACAGAGATGCACCAACAAATCCACCCACTCAAATAGTCCAGGAAGAAACCAGGTCAAATCGCCAATCACTGGAGACCATTAGTCTAACAGAATTGTTAGGACAGGAAGAAGACTGTTATCTTATTTCCTTATTTTTATGAGGAAATGTATTAACTAAAATCCATGGTATCCTATATCCCCAACATCTGTTATGTAATATAAAGTCTCACATTAGATAAACTGATAGTAGTTGCTGCCTCTAAGTTGCCCATACCAGAGAAGGAAGTAGACAGAATATCTGGTCAGAGTCCAATGACTTAATTTCCTTGTTTCAGACTTATCATTTCAGGATTTTTTTTTTTTTTTTGAGACTGAGTCTCGCTCCATTGCCCAGGCTGGAGTGCAGTGGCATGATCTTGGCTCACTGCAACTTCTGACTCCTAGGTTCAAGCAATTCTCCTGTCTCAGCCTCCCGAGTAGCTGGGACTACAGGTGCCTGCCACCATGCCCGGCTAATTGTTTGTATTTTTAGTAGAGATGGAGTTTCACCTTCTTGGTCAGGCTGGTCTTGAACTCCTGACCTCAGGTGATCCACCTGCCTCGGCCTCCCAAAGTGCTGGGATTACAGGCATGAGCCACCACCGCACCTGGCCCTTTTCAAGATTTTTTAAAGAGATGAATAGAGTGACTCTGGAAGTTGAGCAATTGGCTCTATGCTATCCCCACTTGCTTGCTATACTAGCCTATATTCAGAATTTGGTTTTCAGAATTGCCTTCTATTGTTTTTCCCAATAGGTTGAGCTCTTCTCTTAGGTTGGCTTTAAGTGACAAGTTCTCGCTATGTCACCCAGCCTGGACTGAACTCTTGGGCTCGTGACCCTGTTGCCTCAGTTTCCCAAGTAGCTGGGACTGCAAGTGCGCATCATCTCAACCTGCTTTTCTGGCTACTTTTAGATAAAACTGGAACCGATTCAGCCTCCTCTCCCCCACAACATTCCTAACTAGGCAGTCTTCCAGCTTCTGCCTGACCTGGGAGATTGAGGGTGGATTGCTAATCTCAGTGGTTCCAATGTCTGGCCCCAAGCCAATCTCAGAGCCTTAATAATGGGTATTGATCTCAGTGTCTCTTGGGGCAACACACAATCAAGTCACTCTTCCTCCACGCGGCAATATTTGAAGTGCTGACAAGTTTTCTCCTGGATAGGATAAAGAGCCCTAACATTCCTCCACCACAAGATCTTTTTGGAGGTTCGCTCTCCAGTTTCTCTCTGTTCCTCAGACTGGGTATCCAAAATTGAATGTAATGCCAAGAGTGGGGAGCAGTAAGCCTCTGGTGGCTTTCTGGGCACTGGACAACCATTAACACCTCCTAAAACAGTCTTCTCTCAGTTCTGGTGCATACTGAGTTTAAGGTTAATTTATTTACATTGATCTTATTTTTCCTCTTAGTTTAAGGCACATCATTTCAGCCTGTTTAGGTTATAGATGAAAACTTATTTTACCAAATAAATGTACTTGTTAATTCTCCCAGTTTTGTGTCATTTACAAATCTGATAAACAAAAGCTTTCATTTTCATCTATGCTGAAAAATACGTAGGATGAGAATGGGCTAAATAACAAGGGCTCTCCTGGCAGGTAGGTAATTAACTCAATATTTGGCTACAGTTGCTTCAATCAGCTATAATACTGCAACAAGGAAGTTGGGCGTGGTGGCGGAAGCTGGAAGACTGCCTAGTTGCCAAGTATCTGATGTGCTCTTGCTATTGGAAATACAACAAGGAATGACACAGACAATGTTCAATGTTCTTGTCCAATGGCATTTGCTTACACTGTAAACAAGTAAAAAAGAAAACAAGATTAGGCCGGGCATGGTGGCTCATGCCTGTAATCCCAGAACTTTGGGAGGCTGAGATGGGTGGATCACTTGAGGTCAGGAGTTCAAGACCCGCCTGGACAACATGGCAAAACCCCATCCCTACTAAAAATACAAAAGTTAGCCAGGTGTGGCGGCGGGTGCCTGTAATCCCAGCTACCTGGGAGGCTGAGGCCGGAGAATCGCTTGAACCCAGGAGGTGGAGGTTGCAGTGAGCCAAGATTGTGCTACTGCACTCTAGTCTGGGTGACAGAGCAAGCCTCAACAACAAAATCCATGCAACAAGGAATAAAGACTGTCAGGTGCCCTGATGAAATCAATATACTCAATTAGCATTTCCCTGATATATAAGCCTTATCAAAAGATGAAATGAGGTTGGGCACAACTTTGGCTGAATAAGCCTGATGGTCACATCAGGGTTTTTTTTTTGTTCTGTTTTAAGTATTTACTGTAGTTCCAAACTTCATTACTTATACTAGCCAAAAATAACCGAAATAAAAGGTATATCTGATCATGGACTCAATCACTGAGTCCAGGCTATTTTGCTAGACCTAGATCTAATTCACTTTTAGAGGACAGGACCAGAAATTTCTTGCTACTTTACAAGCAAACGAACACGTGAAAAGGACTAAACTTGAGGCAGCTGGAAAATATGCCTTGAAAGAACAGAGATCAAGTACGAACTACATTTATTATGCAAGTTTGTGTTGTTGTAAACAACAGAGTAAACTTCAATGCTCTTTGTTTCTGCATTGTTGAGAAATATGAGACTGAGAAATGGGAAAGACCATGGATAGAAGAAAGTGCTGTATTAATTTAAGGTAACAATTCTCGAGGTAAAATAAGGCATTACAGTAACACAATTTTCATGCCTCAGCAATTAATGATTTTTCGTTTAATTCTCTTCCAACTCTAGAGACATAATTCTGCTTTCACCTTCATCACACTTTCATATGGTTTTAACAAGGGATACACCTCCTCTTCTAAGAATCTCTGCACCTGCCAGAGGAAAGCAAATACAAGACAAAAGAAAATGTTAAGATATTAGCAGATAATACCTTTTCCAATGTCAGGTGATACCACTAAAACCTAATTTAATGAAGCTTTTACTCCACCACTAAGCTTGTTTTTTCCTTAACTGCCTATAAGGAATTTCCGCCTAGACACAGGTGATTCAACCACCATGCCCACATGCCCACCAACCTTTCCCGCAAACTGGCCCAGCCTGTGTTCTCTCAGGTGGTTTTGCCATTTCCATCCAACCTAAAAATCACCACAGCTTTCCTCCTGCTTTCCAGCCCTCTTCAAGTAATCACCAAGAGCTTAACCTCCTCTCCCTCCCTGGTCTGCATCTCTCACCACTGCCTTCACTCAAAGCTCTCATCATCTACTGCTTGGTCCGTTGCAGCAGCCTCCTTATTGGTCTCCTACCTCCAGTTCTAGTATTTTAGCCCTCAGTCCTCGCACCTACTGCTTGGTATTCTAATGACCTATTTAAAAAGTATTCACCACTAAGTTTTAAGCTCTCTGAAGATGAGAATTATCCATTCATCTTTATTTTTTGAGACAGGATCTCACTTTGTCACCCAAGCCAGAGGGCAGGGGCATGAACATGGCTCACTGCAGCCTTCACCTCCTAGGCTCAAGCTATCTTCCCGCCTCAGCCCCCTGAGTAGCTGAGACTACAGGTGCACGCCACCACACCTGGCTAACTTTTGTATTTTTTTGTAGAGACGAGTTTTCACCATGTTGCCCAGGATGTTCTTGAACTCCTGAACTCAAGCAATTCTCCTGCCTAGGCCTCCCAAAGTACTGGGATTACTGGTGTGAGCCACTGTGCCCGGCCTATCTATTCATTTTTAAATCCCCAGAATTAAATACAGTATCTGAACACATACTGAGCACCTAGTATATACTCATGCATTTCAATTGTTAAAACACTGAGATATTTACTTTTATCCTGTCAGCCAGTAAATGCCGGAGGTTAGGATTTAACCCAAATCCACCTGACAATAAAACCTAATTCTTTGTCCATTATACCACATTCTCAAGATCAAAACTCCAAAAAATCTACATAAAGAAATACTTAAGGCAGCTAGCTCAAAACAGCCATATCTTGGTCAGTTGTGGGGGCTCACGCCTGTAATCCCAGCACCACTGCACTCCAGCCTGGGTGAGAGAGAGACTGTCTCCAAAAACAAAACAAAACAGAAACCAAACCCAAATCTCTAAGTTTTAGCCAGCAACCTGCTCTGATTTCCTTCTAACTAGGCCCATTCCCAACATACCTCCTATAAAGCAAAAACATCCAAGAGAGTACCCCAGGTTCTGCAGCCCAGCAGAAAAGAGGCTTCTGGGGACCGCTCCTCGGAAGCGTTCTAATGTACGCTTACCTGCTGGGAGGCACGACCAGTGAAAGAAGAAGGATCCAGTAAACGATCCAACTGGGAGTGAATGGGACTGAAGTAGGCATCAGCCTGGATACGCTCTATGAGGTCATTGTCACCCCCTTCCTGCTTGACCACAGAAGCTGCCTGCTGAGAAAGCACTCTGATTTTCTCATGGCAATCCTGGGAAGACAGTGAAGTATTGTCAGTTCTCCACTAACAGGGCATATGAACACTTTAAAAAAGTCATCAGATACTTCACATCCATGTAGTCTACACAGCTCTACACAAAAACACCTCCAGGCTGAGGCGGTTCCTGTGTCTGTCTCTACCAGGGTCTTCGCTACTCTCTGCCCACATCTTAGGACAAGCCTGAAATGGATGCCACCCTGCTCTGGCCCTCTTCCATAAAGCCCCATGAATAATTTGCTTTTGTTTCCTGCTCACTTCCTACGGAATGTCAGACCTCATTCCTTCACTAGGAGTGGACTTTTCCTACAAGTGATTAAGTAATTCACTTTAAAAAACTCAGTTCACCACAATCACCCTCCATAGATGGCAGATTATGGCCACTGCTCTGTACCATTACTGTGAAGGCAATGACACAAACACCTTCATCTGCTCTCCCTCATGGAGAAGACAGCAGGACCAAACATGCACTCTCAACTTAACCAGGAACATGAGAGGTTACAAACCTGGCGGCTACCTCCAGCTTTGACCATGGCCATGATGATGTTCTCTGTGGCCATGAAAGGCAGCTCTTGCCGAATGCGCCGTTCAATTACCTATAGGAAAAGATAAAGTGAATGACCAAGAAAGCTGCCTCAAGGCTAAAGTGATAAACACAGCAGGATGTCAAACAAAATGCACAGCACAGACACTAACTACCACATTATGGAGACAGAAATGGGTTGTTTTATTCTACATGATGTTTTTTCAGTTTTCTTACTAACTCAGACTTTTGATTTTTTTTTTTTTTTTGAGACAGTCTCGCTCTGTCGCCCAGGCTGGAGTGCAGTGGCACAATCTCCACTCACTGCAAGCTCCGCCTCCCGGGTTCACACCATTCTCCTGCCTCAGCCTCCCCGCCCGCCACCACGCCCGGCTAATTTTTCTATTTTTAGTAGAGACGGGGTTTCACCGTGTTAGCCAGGATGGTCTCGATCTCCTGACCTGGTGATCCACCCACCTCAGCCTCCCAAAGTGCTGGGATTACAGGTGTGAGCCACCATGCCCAGCCAGACTTTTGATTTTTAAAAAGGGAATATTAACTTAAAAAGTTGCCACATAGAAAGTGGCATGATCTTGGCTCACTGCAACTTCTACCTCCTGGGTTCAAGCAATTCTCCTGCCTCAGCCTCCTGAGTAGCTGGGATTACAGGCACACACCACCACGCCCAGCTAATTTTTGTATTTTTAGTAGAGACAGGGTTTCACCATGTTGGCCAGGCTAGTCTGGAACTCCTGACCTCAGGTGATCCGCCTGCCTCGGCCTCCCAAAGTGCTGGAATTACAGGCGTGAGCACCGCACCCGGCCTTAAATAATTCTTTTTTTTTTGAGACGGAGTCTGGCTCTGTCGCCCAGGCTGGAGTGCAATGGCCAGATCTCAGCTCACTGCAAGCTCCACCTCCCCGGCTTACGCCATTCTCCTGTCTCAGCCTCCCGAGTAGCTGGGACTACAGGCACCCGCCATGTCGCCCGGCTAGTTTTTTGTATTTTTTTTAGTAGAGACGGGGTTTCACTGTGTTAGCCAGGATGGTCTCGATCTCCTGACCTCGTGATCCGCCCATCTCGGCCTCCCAAAGTGCTGGGATTACAGGCTTGAGCCACCGGGCCCGGCCTAAATAATTCTTAAAACCCCTATATGCTACATATCAGTGCTCAGCCTCAAGAGCTAAGTATAGGAGAGAAATAAACCCATCTGTCTCAGGTACTTAAAAACAGGCAAATGGAGCCATCTACTCTGCCTAGTCACACCAGAGCTGATGATTCATGCTGCGAGATAGTTTAAAGGCAATTTAAAATACTTCTTTTTCTGTTTCTATAAATGTGTCTATGAATTCCACAGAGCTAGTTCCCTAGAGCTTATGAACTGAAGGATGAGCTCGGGTGGGAAGAACGCCTATCGGATCAGAATGCAGCTCCCTCAACACACCCCAGAGCACCCTCCCTCCCACATTCTAACCCCTCCCTAATACTTTACTTTTTAATTGAAGCTTCTTACTTTGGGGTACACTACCAATCCTTCAGAAATGTTCTGCAGCGTATTCAGTATAGTATCTGCAGTAAGAAATGCCTCGGCCAAACAGATCCGTCTAGAAAACAAATAGCCATTCAGTATCTCTTTAAACAAATAATTTCAGTGAAATGCAGAGTGTGTCCCAACAAGTTGCCCTACTGACTGTACTCTCTGGATAATTTCCTTCAATCTCATGATTACCCCAATGACCTCATGACCCTCAAGTCTGTCGCCTCTAGGCCAGACCACTTGCCTAAGTGCCAGACCTTATACCTACTGAGACGTCTACCTGGTTGATCCATAGGTACCTCAGTCCCCAAACTGAACTCAGCCACTGTCATTCTTCTTACTCACCATTACAAACCTGCCATTCCTCCCTCGCAGGTCCTGCCTCAGCAAATGACAGTAGCGCCCCAGTCACCAAATTCTTTATACTCACTCCGGTCAACCACCAGGGCTGGCCAGTCTGCCTTCAACTCTAGATCTATATCCTTCCTCTCCATTGACATGGCACCTGCACCAACGTGGCCTCGGACTTTTAAAGTAGCCCCTAACTTGTTCTGACGTGATCCCTGTCTCCTTAGAGCCAACTCTCCAAACTGCTGCCAGGGTCTTTTAGCAGGCAAATCAGCAGACCCCCAGGGTCACACCTTGCTAAAAAGTATTCAGTGGCTGACTTCTGAGTGAGTTCACATGACTTATCTCCAGAGATAAATCCTAGATTATGCACAGATCCCAGAAAGCTAGGTCTAACTATACATCCGTATCCACTCAAGAAATTCCAGCACAATGCAAGCAGGCGAGAGTAATGCCAGTCTGCTTTAAATGAGTATTAACACAAAACAGAAAATGATGTGCACATTGGTACCTCATCAGCAGTACAGATTATTTCAGACTCATCTCATAGCTTATCAAGATGTCATTGTGCCTAAACACCACAACTGACATCTATCTGCCTTCAGAAAAGACCCAGAAGACCTTTCGTAAACTGGCTACTATCTGTGACCATGTCCTGCCCCACCTCCTGGCACATGTTGATTTCATTCCCCAGGGCTACTCAAGTAGTAGTAACTCCCTCAAGTGTGTTTTCTCCTGCTTTGTGCCTTTATAATGCTCCCGATCTTGTCTTTAAAAGATGCATGTATTTCTTAAGTCTTAAGGCACCACCTCTACTGTGAAGCGTTCTGACTCCTCAAGCACTATGCCTTCCTCTCTGCTCCACAGTACCCAGTACACACTCCAATTGTAACACTTATCACACTGTCTTTTCTATGTTTTTGCCTCCCTGCTAGACTCTGGGCTCCTTGGGGATAAGGAGACTGTAGAGATGCTCAAATATGTCCTTTTACTTCTAGGTCCCTCCTTCAGACCTCCTCTCAACTTGGTGTATGTGACGTCCTTGCACCACTGACCGGTTGGCACTATCATCCAGTGTCCGTTCAAACCACTGGACAGATGCTGTCTGTAGCGGGTCCATGACAAGGGTCATCAGGTGGCGGGCAAGACTGCAGCAACGTTCTGAACGCATGGGATTCCGCTTGTATGGCATTGCACTCGAGCCTGCCCATGTAAAAAAGGACAAGATGCAAAGGCAGAGAGACTTCAGAGGATAGTGAGTAGGCAAGCATGCTGCTGAATGAGCTCTCAGCCCCCATCCACAGCCCTCCAGCCGCTCTGTGTGCTCACAGGTCTCTACATAGCACTCACCAATCTGCTGTTTTTCAAAGGGTTCCTCCATCTCCTTGAGGTTTGCCAGGAGGCGTATGTCGGTGCAAATCTGGGGGAGGCAGGGGAATAAGCATCATCCCACACTGTCAGTGTGTAGGAGAGTCTGGGAGCCGTGACTAGGCTGATGAAGGAGATGAGCTCTTAGGTGTGCTGCGGCTGAGCTGAAGACCAGCGTGTCCTCCCCAAGAGCTCCTGGAGAGTATCTTACTCAGACTCCTCTCTGTTCCCGAAGGGCTGGGATGACAAATTCAAGGAGCATGAAAACGCTTTTGTGAAACACTGCTTAAGGCATCATGAAAGACAATCACAAGATTAATTTAGGATGGGCACAGTGCCTCACACCTGTAATCCCAGCACTTTGGGAGGCCGAGGCAGGTGGATCACCTGAGGTCAGGAGTTCAAGACCAGCCTGGCCAACATGGTGAAACCCCGCCTCTACTAAAATAAGACAGGCATGGTGGTGCATGCCTGTAATCCCAGCTACTTGGGAAGCTCGCCTGAACCTAGGGGGCAGAGGCTGCAGTGAGCTGAGATCGTACCACTGCACTCCAGCCTGGGCAACAAGAGTGAAACGCCATCTCAAAAAAAAAAAAAAGATTAATTTAATACACCACTGAAAAAGATGGATGTTTTGCAGTGCTTGGGATAACTTTAAAGAAAATGCCAAAACTAGTCTTCCCCTTAAGGGTTTCATCTACAGACCACAAATTATTAAACTAAATGTGTAATATTGCTTGAGAGATGGTTAAGTAAAAGTCTGAGGCTGAAACAGTCTGTCTGTGGTGCCCAGAGCTCCTGTCCCCGCCCCACAAGCTGCCACAACTCACCTTGTGTACTGACGCCCCCAAGCTAGCCAGCACAGACAGTACTTCAATATCCACTTTTCGTGTATATGTCTGCCCTGTGATGATGAAAGCTCTAGAAATAAATAGAAGAGAGACGTATGTTAAAATATTTTAAAGCCATTGCAGTGGTGCATGACTGTAGTCCCAGCTACTTAAGAGGCTAAGGGAGGAGGACTGCTTTAACTCAGGAGGTTGAGGCCAGCCTAAGCATCATTGGGAGACTCTTATAAAATAATAATAATAATTCAAAACATGCCTCTGTCAAACAAGGAAAAACACATCCTAAAGAAAAGCTTGGTCTTATTGGTATGCTAAGTTATACTGAGCCAGTGGACCTGAGTGGTAACTTGCTCCTGAAATAAACTATTCTTCCACCCTTTTCACTAATACTCAGGACACTGGCATGACTCAAGAAGGATACATGGTGCAACATGCCCATGTCCGGCCACAGCTCAATAGAAATGCCTGGGCGAAGCATCCATGGTGGAACCTGGTGGACTCCAATGGAAATGGTCAGATTTAGCCTAACCTGTTGGGGGCCCTAAGTAAAGAAACAAAAATGGTAACAACATGAAAAAAGGTATATTCTAAAGAAACCAGAAGTAAATCATTTTCTTTTTTCCTATAGATTATACAAAAATAGAATGCAGGTCGGGCCTGGTGGCTCATGCCTACAATCCTAGCACTCTGAGAGGCTGAGGCAGGTGGATCGCTTGATCTCAGGAGTTCGAGACCAGCCTGGGCAACATGGTGAAACCCTGTCTCTACAAAAATAATACAAAAATTAGCCAGGCATGCTTGTAGTCATAGCTACTCAGGGGGCTTAGGTGGAAGGACGGCTTGAAGCTGGGAGGTGGAGGCTGCAGTGAGCCGAGATCACACTGCTGCACTCCAGCCTGGGTGACAGAGTAAGGCCCTGTCTCAAAAATAATAATAAAATAAAATAAAATCCAGAAAATATGTCAGCAAGACGATTGGGGGAAAAACAGAAAAGAATCCAGATAGTAAGAAAATAAAACCCAGGACAGAGACAGGAAAAAAAAAAAAAAAAAATGGGTAGAACAACAAAGGAAGAAAAAGGCAAAAATTATAAGGTCAAATCTAGAGGTATACTGAACACAGGACTTTCATCAACTTAACAGGGAGGTCAACGTATTCCCACTTACCTACCTCTTAAATCCCGCCTTATCTGTCACCATCTTGTCAAGCTGCTCTACCTTGGAAAGAAAAGACACATCCTTATAATAATCCAGGTGTCTAGTATGAGAATGCCCCAACCTGTCATCCTACCCAGGTCTTGCCCCCAACCCCCACAACTTCCTTCCAGTTCAAAGACCCCACCCGTCCCACAATCAATCTCTCCTATCATCCTCAAAGACAGCCTTGTCTCAGGCTCCACCACTGAGTTTCAGTGTCCTGCAGGTCACTTTCTGAATACCTTATGGTCATCTCCCTCAAAGAGCTGCAGGAAACTGGCCTGAGTGCCAGTGGTGCCCTTTACTCCCCGGAAACGCAGGTCATCCCGGACACGCTTCAAGTTCTGGAGATCCATGCAAAGATCCTGAATCCAAAGACAGCAACGTTTCCCCACTGTGGTCAGCTGTGCAGGCCTGAAAACCCAAAGAGAACACACGGAAGTCTCAGACCAACACCTTACATCATCAAGGTTTCATTGCTTCTTTTCATAACCACCATTACCCCCTGGAGGGAGAACAATTTAAGAGATGAAGTAATTGGTAAAGATAAAACAAGAGCTAAAACGTTTAACCAAATAATCGTTACGGAGATTCAATGTCATTTATAAATAGTCAAGGAGTATGAAACTAAAAGGCTATTAGCATAGTTCTTTTTTCATCAAGAGGCAATTTTTAAATTACTATTATTCCTAGACTGGGTCTTGCTCTGTCACCCAAGCTGGAGTGCAGTGGCATGAACATAGCTGACTGCAGCCACGAACTCCTGGGCTCAAGTGATCCTTCTGCCTCAGCCTTCCATGTAGCTGGGACCACAGGCACGCAATACCACGCCTGGCTAATTTTTAAATTTTTTGTAGTGATGGGGTCTCACTTTGTTGCCCAGGCTGCTCTCAAACTCTATGTCTCAAGCGATCCACCCGCCTCAGCCTCCCAAAGTGTTGGGATTACAGGCATGAGCCACTGTGATGCATGGCAAGAGGCAATTTATCATAAGGGCAGGAACAATGTCCCTTTTGTTCATGGCTATATCCACCGACATTGGTAAGAAATACATCAGAAAGTCGTGTAATATTTGCCAAGTATCTGATATGCTCCTGCTATTGAAAATACAATAAGGAATGACACAGACAGGATCCTTGTCCAATGGCACTTGCTTACATTGTAAACAAGTAAAAAAGAAAACAAAACAAGATTAGGCTGGGCGTAGTGGCTCATGCCTATAATCCCAGCACTTTGGGAGGCTGAGACGGGTGGATCACTTGAGGTCAGGAGTTCGAGACCAGCCTGGCCAACAGAGACAGGGTAAAACCCTGTCTCTACTACAAATACAAAAAATTAGCTGGGTGTGGTAGCAGGTGTTTGTAATTCCAGCTACTTGGGAGGCTGAGGCAGGAGAATCACTTGAACCTGAGAGGCAGAGGCTGCAATGAGCCGAGACCGTGCCACTGCACTCCAGGCTGGGCGACACAGCCAGACTCTGTCTCAAAAAAACAAATTAAAAGAAACGAGATTAATTATTGAGATTTTAAGTGCTAAAAGAATAAAAGAACAATGAAGATAATGGTGATGGCTGCTCTAGATTGGAAGTAGAGGAAAGCCTTTGTGAGGAGTCAAGACCCAGTGAGGAGTAGTCACGCGATGGAGAACCACCCCACAACACGCATAAGCAGAGGATGTGAACGTAGCAGCTAGTGGCTTTGTTTCTTGTTAAGCCTAAATCAAAGCAGGGCACCGCGGCTCAGGCCTGTAATCCCAGCACTTTGGGAGGCCAAGGAAGGCAGATCACCTGAGGTCGGGAGTTTGAGAAAAGCCTGACCAACATGGAGAAACCCCGTCTCTACTAAAAATACAAAATTAGCCAGGCATAGTGGCGCATGCCTGTAATCCTAGCTACTCGGGAGGCTAAGGCAGGAGAATCACTTGAACCCAGGAGGCAGAGGTTGCGGTGAGTCAAGATTGTGCCATTGCACTCCAGCCTGGACAACAAAAGTGAAACTCCGCGTCAAAAAAAAAAAAAAAAAAAAGCCTAAATCAAGCCACTGAAGGTCGGTTTCTGAACACAAAACATAATTACAAGGCCAGCTGCGGTGTCTCACGCCTGTAATCCCAGCACTTTAGGAGGTTGAGGTGGGTGGATCACTTGAGGCCAGGAGTTTGAGACCAGCCTGGCTAACATGGCAAAACCCTGTCTCCACAAAAAATACAAAAATTGGCCAAGTGTGGTGGCGCATACCTGTAATCCCAGCTACTTGGGAGGCTGAGGTGGCAGAATCGCTTGAATCCAGGAAGTGGAGGTTGCAGCGAGCCAAGATCGTGCAACTGTACTCCAACCTAGGTGACAGAGTGAGATTCTGTCTCAAAACAAAACAAAAAAACAAAATACATAATTATGAATAAATTGTCCTAATGTCCAATTTATTTCTTTTTTGAGACAGGGTCTCACTCTGTCACCCCAGGCTGGCATGCAGTGGTATAATCACAGCTCATTGTAGCCTCAATCTCCTGGGCTCAAGCCATCTTCCCGCCCCAGCCTCCTGAGTAGCTGGAACTACAGGCACAAGCTACCACACCTGGCTAACTTTTTGTTTTTTGTTTTTTTTTTAAGAGCCATGGTCTCCCTATGTTGCCTAAGCTGGTCTCGAACTCCATGCCTCAAACTATCCCCGTCTTGGCCCCCCAAAGTGCCGAGATTACAGGCCTAAGTCACTATGCCCAGTCTAATTTCTTTTTTTTTTTTTTTTTTTTTGAGATGAAATCTCGCTCTGTCGCCCAGGCTGGAATGCAGTGGCGCGATCTTGGCTCACTGCAACCTCTGCCTCCCGGGTTCAAGCGATTCTCCTGCCTCAGCCTCCTGAGTAGCTGGGATTACAGGTGTCCGCCACCACACCCAGCTATTTGTGTATTTTTAGTAGAGACGGGGTTTCACCATGTTGGCCAGGCTGGTCTTGATTCCACTTTCTCATGATCCACCTGCCTCAGCCTCCCAAAGTGTTGGGATTACAGGTGTGATCCACTGCACCTGGCCGCCCAGCCTAATTTCTTTCTTTTTCACTGTCACCCAGGCTGGAGTGCAATGGCGCAATCTCGGCTCATGGCAACCTCTGCCTCCCAGGTTCAAACAGTCCTCCTGCCTCAGCCCCCTGAGTAGCTGGGCCTCTATAGGCGTGCGCCACCGCATCTGGCTACTTTTTTTTGTATTTTTAGTAGAGACAAGGTTTCACCATGTCAGCCAGGCTGGTCTTGAACTCCTGACCTCAGGTGATCCACCTACCTTGGCCTCCCACAGTGCTGGGATTACAGGCATGAGCCACCGTGCCCAGACCCAGCCTAATTTCTAATAGATAACCTAACCTATTCCAAATGGAATTTCTTTCCTCTTAGGCTAATAACACTGACAGCTAGGAACATCAAGGCATAACACTAGGAATGTCCACAGAAGGCACATCACAAGCTACAGTGTATCTCCAAAATTAATCTTATCGTTTTCCTTGTTAACTGCTAACAGATTACTGGTATAAGCAAAGAAAGAAGTAAATTAGCATGGACTTGTTCACAGCAGCATCATTCATAGTAGCCAAAAAGCAGAAATCCCCCAAATGTCCATCAGTTGTTGACAATTGGGTAAATGAAACATGGTACAACCACACAATGGAATGTTTTTCAGTCATAAAAAGAACTGAAGCTCTGATACAACATGGATATTGAAAACAGCAAAAGAAGCCAGACATAAAAGGCCACATATTGTACACGATTCCATTTCTATGAAATGTGTAGAATAGGCAAATGCGTAGATACAAAAAATAGATCAGCGGCTGCCAGCGGGTGGGGAAGGGAGGCATAGGAGTGACTATCAATGGGCATGAGGTTTCTTTTTGGGATGATGAAAATACTCTGAAATTATATAGTGGTAATGATTGCATAATTCTCTAAGTATAGTAAAAACCACTGAATTGTACACTTTAAAAGGGTGAATTCTGTTATGTAAATTATATCTCAATAGTTTTTTTTAATTGCATGAACTGATACACTAAGAGGATGCCTACACATCAACACTGTTTTCTGAGTTCCTAATGGCTACGAACTCTGGCAGCCAATCTCTTCCATTATGCTATCTCCGGAGGAACATTAGAATGCTTCTGTATTTGCTGAGCACTGAGGCAGGAGAGGAAGAGAGGAGCTGTATTTATTTTTTTTGTTGAGACGGAGTCTTGCTCTGTCGCCCAGGCTGGAGTGCTGTGGCTGGATCTCAGCTCACTGCAAGCTCCGCCTCCCGGGTTTACGCCATTCTCCTGCCTCAGCCTCCCAAGTAGCTGGGACTACAGGCGCCCGCCACCTCGCCTGGCTAGTTTTTTGTATTTTTTTAGTAGAGACAGGGTTTCACTGTGTTCGCCAGGATGGTCTCGATCTCCTGACCTCATGATCCGCCCATCACGGCCTCCCAAAGTGCTGGGATTACAGGCTTGAGCCACTGCGCCCAGCCTAGGAGCTGTAACACAGAGGAAGGAGGATGTGGAGGGAAGCCACTGGCATGGAGCACTTCGTATGAACAAGCGCTTCAGGCTACTGCTACCAATAAGTATAGGCCCTGCCTTTAAGAAATACGAAGCTCAAAAGGCTTTCATAAATTATCATATCCTTGTTGCCACAGCAATACACCATCAAAACAGAAGGCAGATGCTAATATACCACTACTCAAACATCACTCAAAACCTGTCACTAGCACTCCAAAATTACACCATCAGCATTTAAAAGGGCTTTATTCAGTAATCATAAAAATACTTGCATATTTTACAAGTAAAAATGCAAAAAGTATGGCTGGGGGCAGTGGCTCACGCCTGTAATCTCATCACTTTGGGAAGCAGGGGTGGGCAGATCACTTGAGGTCAGGAGTTTGAGACCAGCCTGGCTAACATGGTGAAACCCTATCTCTCCAAACAATACAAAAATTAGCTGGGCGTGGTGGCTGGCGCCTGTAGTACCACCTACTAGGAAGGCTGAGGCGGGAGAATCGTTTGAACCCAGGAGGTAGAGGTTGCAGTGAGCGTGAGCCAAAATCACACCACTGCACTCCAGCCTGGGCGACAGAGCGAGACTCCGTCTCCAAAAACAAAACAAAACAAAACTAAAAACGTAGAAAGAAATTTAATTTTCCTATTATCTCATAAACCAGAGTAATCAACATTTACATCATGGAGTACTTTCAACCAATTTTTGTGCAATTTATAAGCTGTCTTTGTTACCATAACATAAACCTAAGTGCCTTTGCACGTTAGATCTTGTAAGCATCATTTAAATGGTTGCATATTACTCCAACCTATGGATGTACGAATACTATGCCTTACTTATTCTCTTATTGTTGAACATTTCGATGTTTTTCTTTTTTTTTTTTTTTTTGAGACGGAGTCTTGCTCTGTCGCCCAAACTGAAATGCAGTGGTGCGATCTCAGCTCACTGCAACCTCTGCCTCCCAGGTTCAAGTGATTCTCCTGCCTCAGCCTCCTGAGTATCTGGGATTACAGGCACATGCCACCAAACCTGGCTAATGTTTATATTTTTAGTAGAGACGGGGTTTCACCATGTTGGCCAGGCTGGTGTTGAACTCCTAACCTCAAGGGATCCGCCGACCTTGATCTCCCAAAGTGGTGGGTTTACAGGCGTGAGCCACCACACCTGGCCCATTTAGATTGTTTCTAATGCTTACTATCATAAATAATATTTTTCAAGGCTCTTGATATGTTTTTCCCAACGTTTCCCAAAGGAACTGTTATATTTACTCTCTCACCAGTATGTTTTAAGGTAGATATCAGGCTCATTACCCATAAACATCCCAAATTACTTATACTTAAATCATGTTTTCAGATTCTTCACCTCAAGGTTACTGTAGAAAAGACAGAACTCAAGAAGTAGCTGAAAGCCATATGCACATAAACAAGAAGTAATCTTATCACTTACTGGAAATGTGTGAAACCTAACGTGGGTAGACTGGCTCGTTCCTTAGCAAAGTCGGCAAGCCGAGAGATCACTCTGGCAAGCTACAAGAAAGATCATGTGATAGAAAGAGGTTGAATTCAGGTTGTGTTCATTACATAATTAGGAACAAAACTTTTAGATAATTTTGTATAAAATTAGACCTGTAACTCATGAAAGGCAGCAGCCATATCTTTCCATCTTTGTATCCTAAACTGCCTGGAAGAGTTCATAGCAACCAAAATTTGAAAACTGAGTTGACTACCTAAAATGTCATGAACTATTTTAAGACCATGGCAGAAAAACAGAACAAAATCATAATCCTGACCCACATATCCCAGCAACATGCCTTTGGTTGCACTCTCTTCATTTAAAAGGCTATGCTTGGGCCCCCACAAGCAAGAAAGGATGACAGCAGCGAAAATGAAGAACTGGCCGGGTGCGGTGGCTCATGCCTGTAATCGCAGCACTTTGGCCAAGACAGGCGGATCACGAGGTCAGGAGATTGAGACCATCCTGGCTAACATGGTGAAACCCCGTCTCTACTAAAAATACAAAAAAATTAGCCAGGTGTAGTGGTGGGCGCCTGTAGTCCCAGCTACTCGGGAGGCTGACGCAGGAGAATGGCGTGAACCCAGGAGGCGGAGCTTGCAGTGAGCTGAGATTGCACCACTGCACTCCAGCCTGGGTGACTGAGTGAGACTCTGTCTCAAAAAAAAAAAAAAAAAAAAAAGGCTATGCTTTAAAAACCATTCACTTACAGTCAGCTGGGTGCAGTGGCTCACACCTGTAATCCCAACACTTTGGAAGGCCAAGACGGGGGGATCCCTTGAGCTCAGGGTTTGAGACCAGCCTGGGCAACATGGCAAAAACCCATTTCTACAAAAAATTAACCAGGCGAGGTGGCATGCACCTGTACTCCCACCTACTTGGGAGACGGAGACAGAATTGTCTGAGCCTGGGAGGCGGAGGCTGCAATGAGCCGTGATCACGCCACTTGACAGAATGAGACTCTGTCTCAAGAAGAAGAAGAAAGGAGAGGGAGGAAGAGAAGAAGAAAGGAGGAGGAGGAGGAAGAGAAGAAAGGACAAGGAGAAGAAACAATTAGTTCTACAGATTAAACACAGGGATGTCGTTCACCTGAAAAAATGATGCTCTATGTAAAAATTTACATTGTGATTTAGTTGTAACTGGTGCCTATCTCCTACCATAGGGAATCTATGGTTGGTAGGAAACATCTCCCAACTCCTTACCTTTGGCAAAAGCAGGTCAAGTGCATTTCTAAGAATAATCAAGTCCTACGAAAGAAAACGCAATGATCTTATATTAAGCAGCTTTGCTCAAACAATATTATTATGTAACACTTTTTGGCCAAAAAGGCTGGGTTGCTCAGCTACCAGCCTATATCACCATTACCAACCCACTAAGCATGCCAGAAAATACTAATACAAGTTGTTCTTTCCTGATTACTGTTTGAAAAGCACGTCAGCTTAACAGTACTACTGGGATCTATAAGGAACAAAACCTTTATACTTAAAAGCCCAGCATGGTGGCGCATGCCTGTACTCTCAGGACTTTGGGAGGCTGAAGCAGGTGGACCACTTGAGGCCAGGAGTTTAAGATCAGTCTGTGCAACAGAGCAAGACTGTCTCTCCAGTATTAAAAAATTTTTCAATTAAAAAAAAAATGACTGGACAATGTTTAAGTCAACAAGGTTTATGTTTTCCCAGAGGACTGCTTGAGTTTCTGAGAAGCTTCCATATGGTACATTCCATTACTTTCCTCCCCCATTTCTTTTTTTCTTTTTTTTATTTTTAAGTTGGGAGTCTTGCTCTGTCGCTCAGGCTGGAGCTCAGTGGTGCAATCTCAGCTCACTGCAAGTTCCGCCTCCCAGGTTCACGCCATTCTCCTGCCTCAACCTCCCGAGTAGCTGGGACTACAGGCACCCGCCACCACACCCGGCTAATTTTTGGTATTTTTAGTAGAGACAGGGTTTCACCGTTAGCCAGGATGGTCTCGATCACCTGACCTCGTGATCCGCCCACCTTGGCCTCCCAAAGTGCTGGGATTACAGGTGTGAACCACCGCGCTCAGCCTTCCCGGTTTTTTCCTGCCTACAGTTGCTAACAAGGAAAGGAATGACCCAGAATATCAAGGTTTAGGAAACGTAAAGCTGCTTTTGAGGAAGGTTATCTCGAGATGTACATCTTTCAGGTAGCTCCAACACATGTCGATATGAAACAGTAATTATTGAGCCCATCCACACACTGGGTACTGTTTAAAGGATTTTCCAAGTAAGAAGACTGTTCTTCTCCCGTTACCTGACTTGCCAATTACACAAAGATGCCTTTAATTATGTTTAAGACTAAATGAAAGCATTTGGGGCAACTTAAAAATTACTGGCTTATTCCCAAATTGGACATTTATCTGGAATCTAACTTCAACCCCCATGGGTATACTCTGATTAAGAGCACAAGCTAGGTCAGGTGCGGTGGCTCACGTCTGTAATCCCAGGATTTTGGGAGGCTGAGGCAGGACGACTGTTTGAACACAGGAGTTCAAGGCCATTCTGGGCAGCATGGTGAAACACTGTCTCTATAAATATTTTAAAAATTTGCCAGGCGTGGTGGCTCATGCCTGTAATCCCAGCACTTTGAGGGGGCTGAGGCAGGTAGATCGCCTGAGGTCAAGAGTTCGAGACAAGCCTGGCCAACATAGTGAAACCCTGTCTCTACTAAAAATAAAAAAAATTAGCTGGGCGTGGTGGCAGGCGCCTGTAATCTCAGCTACTAGGGAAGCTGAGGCAGGAGAATCGCTTGAACCTGGGAGACGGAGGTTGCAGTGAGCCAAGATCGCGCCATCGCACTCCAGCCTGGGCTACAAGAGCAAAACTGTCTCCAAAAAAAAAAAAAAAATTGATCCCAGCACTTTGGGAGGCCGAGACGGGCGGATCACAAGGTTAGGAGATCGAGACCATCCTGGCGAACACGGTGAAACCCCGTCTCTACTAAAAAAAATACAAAAAACTAGCCGGGCGTGGTGGCGGCGCCTGTAGTCCCAGCTACTCGGGAGGCTGAGGCAGGAGAATGGCGGGAACCCGGGGGGCGGAGCTTGCAGTGAGCTGAGATCCGGCCACTGCACTCCAGCCCGGGCGACAGAGCCAGACTCCGTCTCAAAAAAAAAAAAAAAATTGTTTTAAATTAGCCCAGTGCAGTGGCACATGCCTGTGGTCCCAGTTACTCAGGAGCCTGAGGTGGGAGAATCGCTTGAGCCCAGAAGGTCAAGACTGCAGTGAGCCATGTTTGTGTCACTGCACTCCAGCCTAGGTGACAGAAGCGAGACCCTGTCTCAAAGCATTTTTTTTTGAGACAGGGTCTTTGAAGGACTTCATAGTCCTTCAAAGGTCTTCGAAGGATTTTATAAGTCCTTTGAAGGCCGGGCGCAGTGGCTCACGCCTGTAATCCCAGCACTTTGGAAGGCCAAGGTGGGCAGACGACCTGAGGCTAGGAGTTCAAGACCAGCCTGACGAACACGGTGAAACCCCTCTCTACTAAAAAGACAAAAATTAGCCAGGCACGGTGGCGGGTGCCTGTAATCCCAGCTACCGGGGAGGTCGAGACGCGAGAATTGCTTGAACCTGGGAGGCAGAGGTTGCAGTGAGCAAGATCGCACCACTGCACTCCTGCCTGGGTGACAGAGCAAGACTCTGTCTCAAAAAAAAAAAAAAAAAATTCCTTTGAAAAATTACCTCAGCCATTAAAATGCTAAGGCTTTGGCTTACATCCAGCAAACCAATGCATAAGCAGGATCTGTAGGTCTTATTTTATAGAGGTCATTTGGTGCTTACAGTTTAGATTGGAAGGACAGTAAAAGCTGAAAAAATTCCTCAGCATTTTCAACCAAGATACCTTTAAAAATAAAGATTTGGCTGGCGTGGTGGCTCACGCCTATAATCCCAGCACTTTGGGAGGCTAAGGTGGGCGGATCATGAGGTCAGGAGATCGAGATCATCCTGGCTAACAGGGTGAAACCCGCCGTCTCTACTAAAAAAATACAAAAAAATTAGCCGGGCGTGGTGGTGGGTGCCTGTAGTCCCAGCTACTTGGGAGGCTGAGGCAGGAGGATGGCGTGAACCTGGGAGGTGGAGCCTGCAGTGAGCCGAGATCCCGCCACTGCACTCCAGCCTGGGCGGCAGAGGGAGACTGTCTCAAAAAAAAAAAAAAAAACAACACAAATTTATAGTTTCACTTCCTAAACTGGACAACATCAAATAAAATTGACAAATACATTCTAGAGACTGAGTTTTAAGTATAAACAACACGGGCACCTACAGTATTGTCTCCAACATAGCAAGAAGTGGCACCAAGGTGAATAATGCCTGCAGCTTTTGGACAGCAGTGGCCAAACGTGTGCACGTGAGCCATCACATCATGTCGTAATCGTTTCTCTTCCTCAGCTGCCATCTTGAAGTCGATGTTGTCCAGGTTTGATTTCATCTCCTGGATTTGTTCATCTGTGATAGGCAAACCCAATGTCTGCAGAATAGGCAAAATAAAATAAAATAGACTCAGTGTCACAGTTATTTGAATGAAGTGACACCAAGGAAAAAAACTGATTCATGTTAGCAGCAATACCCTATCTCCCAACCCTTAAATTAAAATTTAAGGCAACCGAGTTGAAAGTCCACTGGCCGGGGGTAGTGGGGTCGAGGGGTGGTGGGAGAGACCTTCTCAATGAACCATGGGAAAGTATACTCTAAGAAAGCTCCAAGAAATAAAACAACAACATAATCCTGCTCTTGACTGTTCCTTCTGCCCAAGACCTCTGCTTGGTTCACTCCCTCACACATTCTGGTCTCTGGAATCAAATGTCATCTCCTCAGAGAGGTCTTCCCTGACTTCAGTGTAAAACACCCTCTGTGTCACTCTCTATCCCTGGCCTGGTTTTATTTACAGCACTTAAAAACCACATGACATTTTTTACATATTTATTAACCTGTCATTTCCCTCTAGAATGAATACTTCTTGAGGAGCTTTGTTTTATTCATTGCTTAATCCTTAGTGCTTGGCACGGTGGTGGCCATGTTACTTAGATGGATTTACTTTGAGAAACCAAATTTAAGAATTCTGTAAGTAGTTTTGCCAGGAAATTATGTACAGCAAATGAGTGCAACTGAAAGCAATTTCAGGAGATACTGATGAGAAAATAAACACGTCAATGTCTTACATTCATCCATCACTGGAAAAATTAGGCTGCAGAAAACAGCTGGCAGCCCACAGGCAACTCGGAACTTGGATCCAAGGGTTGAATATAAACAGTGGTGAAACTGATTTAAACCTCACTTGAAACTTGCAAACAGTGACTCGGGGAAGGATCTTACATCTTAGACCTCTTTTATCTAAGAGAGGAGCTACTAGCCAGATATGGCTATTTAATTTAATTTGATTAATTAAAAAGTATTGGAAAATATTTATAAGTAAAAAGTCAGGCCAGGTATGGTGGCTCACATCTTTGGGAGGTCAAGGCGGGTGAATCGCTTGAGTCCAGAAGTTCTAGACCACACTGGAAAACATAGTGAGACCCGTCTCTACAAAAAAAAAAAACAACACAAAAATTTGCCAGCCATGGTGGCGTGCACCTCTAGTTCCAGCTTGGGAGGCTGAGGTGGGAGGACAGCTTGAGCCCAGGACGCAGAGGTTGCAATGAGCCGAGATTGTGCCACTGCACTCCAGCCTGGGCAACACAGCCAGACACAGTCTCAGAAACTAAACAAAAACAAATAAAAGCAAAAAGTCAGTTTCTCAGTCACACTAGCTGCATTTCAAGTACTCGGCAGCCACATGTGGCAGCACTGCCTGGAACTTTACAGTCACAGAAGACAGGACACCTCTTGACTCCTTCCAAAGCAAAGCAGCAGAGGGCAGCATGGCCATACTGCTTCCTCCCCTGAAGCAATGTATCTTTTCAAAATTCATACTTTCCTTACTACGAATTTTCTGCATTCCTCCTAATCTCTTATTCTCCAAGTTTTTTCTTAGCTACTAAGTTATTATGCAATTTATGGTAAACGTGACCTAATAGATAATCCAAAGCTAAAATTGTATGCGTTTCAGGCAAACAGAGGAAAGAAGACATACTCAGACTCTACATTCCAACTCCAGCTTGAAGCCATTTACTAGCTTTGGCGACCCTGGCAAAGTCTTGAGTACCACTACCCTCATCTACAGAATGGAGTATCAGATGAAGTAGAAAGAGTACACGCTAGTACATCACAAATCACAACACATGATGAAGGTCTACTACTATCGCTAGCTACGCCAAGAGTTTATTAACTTGATGCTCCATTCTTTCATCTGTAAAACAGGTACAGTATTTAATACCTACTCTTCACGGTTGTTTGGAGGATTAATGAGTGATCATGTGTAAAGGGTTAAGACAGTACCTGGGTCTCAGAAGGCACTATATGAATGTCTGCTATTATTGTAGTGTATAGCCCAGTATTTCGGAGGGCAGTGATAAGGGGAGGGCAGGGAATCTAGAATGAAAGTTTCCTGTTTCGAGAGTTCCATTGTACGGGTCCTAGACACAAACTCAGATTGTTTCCGTGCTTAGTGTGCCGTTTGAGAGAGCATTGCCAACTTGCTCGTTGTGGCACTTTCCTCTGAAACTTGAGGAGAAACATTATCGCTCTCTGGATCACCTTCAGTTTGCTTCAACTCTTCTGGAGCTATTTCTGAAACCGCTGGGCTAAGGAGTTCTCAAACAGCCCTTAGAAAAGAAACTATAAAACCCGTTTAATAAACCCCTACCCAGAGTCTTCTCCTCAGACGCAAAGCGCAGCCCAGTGAGGCGGAAATGGTGGCCTAGAAAACACGCATTCCAGTCTTGTCACTTGTCACTAACTGCATAACTGTGGAAGACCAAGGGGCTACGTGCTCAGCTCAGGCTCTGGACTGCACCCAGGTTCAAATCCCAGTTCCGCGCCTAATAGCTGCATGGGCTAGGGCAAACAACAAGCTGTCTGGGCTTGGTGTTCTCCCCTGCAATGTAGGAAAAACACAATCAAGCCTGCAAGATCTTCATGGATTACACGAGAAAAGATGCGTGAAATAATGAGCACAACGGTACGAAACAAGCGCTCGGTGTCTGTCGTTAGCAGCGTACTCCTGCGGGGATGACCAAGGTGAATTCTCTGAAACTGCAAGCTGAATTTCTCCCAGCCGCCTCCGCGTCTCGAACCCTCTCGGACTAAGAACATGTGAGGCAACAGGTGGCGGCTCCCGGGCCACCTGCCCTTGCTTTCCTGGGGCCGCAGCTCCTCAGGACAGGGAACACCCAGCTGAAAATAGCCCGGCCGCAGCTCCGGGGTGGCTAAGCCCAGCCCGGCACAGAGCCCGGCACGTGCTGGAGCGGTCCCGTCCCTCCCGGCCCAGCCCCTCAGCCCAGGGTCCGTTACCTGCTCAGCCTCCGCCAGCCACAGCCACAGCTGCCGCCATGTCCGGAATTTATACCTGTCGCTAAACACGAAGCACATCTCCGGGCTCGCATAGCGGGAGGCAAGAGGTGAGCGGTAGCTGTCGGGCGAACCATGATCGCCTACAGCAGCCATGCCGACCCCGCGACCACGCCAGGATAGACTGGACCCGGGAAGAGCGGAAGCGGAAACCCGGAGGCCGGGGCAGGACGGGGCGGGGCGGGACTTCCTTCACGCGGTCCAGCTTTCTGGGTTCCGGGCGCGCTGGGCGCTGCCGGCTGCCGATTATCTCGGCTGCTTCTGCCTGAAAGTTGACGTGGTTCGCTTCTTTGGCCAGAAACATGATTGGTGCTTCCTACGTTACTTAGCCGCGCTGCACTTTAGTTTTCCTGTCTGTAAAAAGCTACATTAAGACTTGCCCCGGCCGGGCGCGGTGGCTCAAGCTTGTAATCCAGCACTGTGGGGGCCCCAGACGGGAGAATCGCTTGAGGCCAGCAAATCGAGACCAGCCTGGGCATCACTGGGAGACCCTCCCATCTCTTAAAAAAAAAAAAAAAAAAAAAAAGAAAAAAGGCCGGGCGCGGTGGCTCAAGCCTGTAATCCCAGCACTTTGGGAGGCCGAGACGGGCGGATCACGAGGTCAGGAGATCGAGACCATCCTGGCTAATACGGTGAAACCCCATCTCTACTAAAAATACAAAAAACTAGCCGGGCGAGGTGGCGGGCGCCTGTAGTCCCAGCTACTCGGGAGGCTGAGGCAGGAGAATGGCGTAAACCCGGGAGGCGGAGCTTGCAGTGAGCTGAGATCCGGCCACTGCACTCCAGCCTGGGCGACAGAGCGAGACTCCGTCTCAAAAAAAAAAAAAAAAAAGCCTGCCTTTCGGGTTGTGCGGATTCAGTGTTAGAGCGGTGTCTGGCACTCTTGGAAGGCCGTGTGTGCGCTTGCTGTTACTCTTATTGCCGTCGCCCCACCCACTCCTGCCCGCCTCGCACAGAGCTCGGCTCTAAGGAGAAATGAAGATACCCAAGGGAAATCGGCATTTACTGCGCCCCCAGTAAGCTGGATGCGGTGGCCTACGCCTGTAATCCTAGCACTTTGGGAGGCCGAGGCAGGCAGATTGCCTGAACTCAGGAGTTTGAGACCAGCCTGGGCAACACAGTGAAACCCCGTCTCTACTAAAATACAAAAAATTAGTCGGGCGTGGCGGCGTGTGCCTGTAGTCCCAGCTACTTGGGAGGCTGGGACAGGAGAATTTCTTGAACCCGGGAGGCGGAGGTTGCAGTGAGCCAAGATCGCGCCACTGCACTCCAGCCTGGGCGACAGAGCGAGACTCTGTCTCCAAAAAATAAAAAAAATTAAATAGATAGAAATAGAGACACTCAAATGGCCCTTTTGTTTTGTTATGTTTTTGACAGGGTCTTGCTATGTTGCTCGGTCTGTAGTGCCAGTGGGGTGATCATACAGGAAGGGGTTCATCTGGAGCTGTTAAGAGCCAGGTGTCTCAGCTGGGCACGGTGACTCACGCCTGTAATCCCAGCACTTTGGAGGCTGAGCAGGGCAGATCATTTGAGTCCAGGAGTTGGAGACCAGCTTGAGCAACATGATGAAACACGGTCTCTACAAAAAATACAAAAATTAAGTGGGCCTGGTGGTGTGCACCTGTAGTCCCAGCTACTTGGGAGGCTGAGGTGGGAGAATCACTTGAGCCCAGGATGTTGAGGGTGCAGTAAGCCATGATTGTGCCACTACAGCTTAGGCAACAGAGACCCTGTCTCAAAAACAAAACAAACAAAAAGAGCCGGGTGCCTACACCCTCTCCATCTGCACTTAACTCCTAGCTCTCTGCCTTTTACGTGAGGAATCTAAAAACACTCAAGCCAGGTGTGGTGGCTCACGCCTGTAATCCCAGCACTTTGAGAGGCTGAGGCGGGAAGATTGCTTGAGCCTAGTACTGTGCTGCTTTGAAATTTCCTGTTTGTGAGTGCCTTACTGAAATGAGACCTGTGGTGGAATTCCAATTTGAACTCCCAGTTTATTTGCTGAGAGTTAACTTCCCTTTTCCAATAGCCATAATATTTCTAGAATATTAAAAGTACAGATTAAGGGCCAGGCGCGGTGGCTCACACCTGTAATCCCAGCACTTTGGGAGGCTGAGGCAGGTGGATCACCTGAGGTCAGGAGTTCGAGACCAGTCTGGCCAACATGGTGAAACCCATCTCTACTCAAAATACAAAAATTAGCCAGGCGTGGTGGCAGGTGTCTGTAATCTGCTACTCAGGAGGCTGAGGCAGGAGAATCACTTGAACTCAGGAGGTGGAGGTTGCAGTGGGCCGAGATTGTGCCACTGCACTCCAGCCTGGGCAACAGAGTGTGACTCCAGCTTAAAAAAAAAAAAAAAAAAAGTACATGTTTAGATCTCAAGGCTTCAAGATCTTTTCTTTGACAATAAATTCTTTTCCAGTCTTCTTCCCATTCCTGCTTTCATTCACAGATTCACTGAAAAACATATGGAGCACCCATGATAGTGTTCTCCCTCCCCACCTCTGGGCTTTCTTAGATGCTGAGTGACCTCCCGGCTTCTCTTTTTTTTTTTTTTTTTGAGACGGAGTTTCACTCTTGTTGTCCAGGCTGGAGTGCAATGGTGCGATCTCCGTTCACTGCAACCTCCACCTCCCTAGTTCGAGTGATTCTCCCGCCTTAGCCTTGCGAGTAGCTGGGATTACAGGCATGTGCCACCACGCCTGGCTAATTTTGTTTTATTTTATTTTATTTTTATTTTTGTAGAGACGGAGTTTCTCCATGTTGGTTAGGCTGGTCTTGAACTCCCGAACTCAGGTGATCCACCCGCCTCAACCTCCCAAAGTGCTGGGATTACACGTGTGAGCCACCATGCCTGGCTAGATGTTGAGACCTCCCGGCTTGTTTCAAAACTCTTACCAGAATTCAGTGTTGCTTGCCTTGGTCATTGATGGCAAACTCGGGGCAAGAGATCATGTCTCTGTTCCTGGCACTAAGCTCTAAACCTGGCATAGCATAGGTGCTCAGTAAATGTTTGCTGGATGAATAAATGCTGCCCCAAAGGAGCCTAGCCCAGTAAGAGAAATACCGCCCACAATAGCCATGCTACCCGTTAGATTCTGACACTATACTTCCTCTTCCTCCACACCTCCTCGGTGTCCTCATTCCCTGGCTTGTTCATGTCTCCACCTGAACTCCAGAGTTAGCTGTCACAATTGACTACAGCGCCAATTTCAGAATATTCAGGCCATCAGAGAAGCCTGTCAGTCACCTGGACTCATCACCAAAGTCTTCTTCCACCTCCCCTCAGAAGACTGTTTTTGGGGGTGAGGGCAATCATAGTTCTGGAAAGATGAAGAATTTGCTCCATGAAACTCCCCACTCTTTGTTTGGAGAGTGCTTCCCACACACTCATTGCTTGGATATACTGTGATAAATTTACTTTCCTCATTTTCCACCAATGCCCCTTGTAAAAGGTGGAAAGATAATACAATCTGAAGAGAAACCAGAGCATGCACACCCATGCCCATTGTAAACTCAATGATCTCAGTCTTCTAGCCCTCTCTTCTTCCTTTGCTTCACTTTGCTGTTACTTTTCCTCCTCCAAACAAGTTTCTACCCAAATCTTCTTCCTCATTCAGGAAAAGATCTTGCTCGATAATTTTGTCTTGTATCTTTCATCACCCCAGTTCTGTCTCCCTTCTCCTCTTTTATTTTTCAAGACCTTGTCTCAGGCTATTCTTTTAGAAATGGGGTATGTCACCCAGGCTAGAAGACAGTGGCATGATCATAGCTCACTGCTGCCTTGAACTCCTGTGCACAAGCAATCCTCCCACTTCAGCTTCCCCAGTAGCTAGGACTACAGGCACATGCCATCGCCTTCATCTACTTTTGTTTACTTATTAACATAGAGACGGGGTCTTGTTATGTTGCCCAGTTGGTCTCAAACTTCTGGCCTCAAGTGATCCTCCCACCTCAACCTCCCGAATGGATGGGATTACAGACATGAGCCACTGCACTCAGCTCCTCTGAGGGTTGTTTGTTTGTAAATGCCTACGTCTCTTCCACTATAGGAACATCTTCACTTGCCCTGGTAACTCCTTAACATGGAGTCCTCATTTTCTGTCTGCCTCTTCACCAACCATTCCTGGCACTACCACTTATTAGCTGTGTTACTTGGGGAAGTTACTTATCTTTCAGCACATGAGTCTTCTCACCTATAAAATGTGACTGATGATCCCAGGTGTTAGATGCAATAGCAAAAATAGATGCTGGCTCCCTAGCTCACTGTCTGGGACTCCTGTGCTCAACAAATCGTTCCCCACCCCACTTTATTCTTTAGCACCGAGGTGCAACTTCTGTTCTCTCCCCTTCTTCCAAATCAAACTAGTCTTAATTACCAATAACCTTCTCTAACAGACCAATCAAAATGTCCTTTTCCATAATATGTACTTGTTTGCCTCATTAAAGGTGTGGGGGATGATGCAGGGAATGGAATAGACAAGGACAGTACTAGTAGCAGAATTTCCCAATGTACATCTTTATGTCATTTTGACTTTTGACCCAAATACGTTTTTTTTTTTTTTTTCTTTTTCCTCTACTCATTCATCCTTCCTGGCTAAGTATTTAGCATTTTTGACAATTTCCCTCCTGTCTGCTTTGAAAACTAAACCGTACTGATTTTCCCCCCTTTCTGACTGCTTAGCCTTTTTTTGTTTTGTTTTTTGTTTTGAGACAGGGTCTTGCTGTGTCGCTCAGGCTGGAGTGCAGTGGCATGATCATGGCTCACTGCATCCTCAACCTCCTGGGCTAAAGCAATCCTCTTGTCTCAGCCTCCCAGGTACCTGAGACCATAGACACGCACCACCATGCCCACCTATTTTTGGCAGACACAGGGTCTTGCTATGTTGCCCAGGCTGGTCTTGAACACCTGAGCTCAAGTGATCAGTCCACCTCAGCCACCCAAAGTGATGGGATTACAGGCGTGAGTCAATGCACCCGGCCTCTTAGTTGCTTTTTGAAGAGGCTTCTCCTCTCACTCCTGGAAAAGAAGTAGGGGAAGTTTCCTCAAGATTTGATCCATTTGGGAGGCTGAGGTGGGTGGATGACTTGAGGTCAGGAGTTCAAAACCAGCCTGGCCAACATGGTGAAACCCCACCTCTACTAAAAAAAA